CGCTTCGGTCCTAGTTGCTGGCTCGCTTCGGTCCTAGTTTTCATCTCGCTTCGGTCCTAGTTTCCTTACTCGCTTCGGTCCTAGTTTCTTCGCCGTTGACTATGGTGTTTGAGAGGCAACATCCTTGTCGACCCCACCCCACCCGGCATGTCTTGTTGTTAGGTGTTTGAGAGGCAACATCCTTGTCGACCCCACCCCGCCCGGCATGTCTTGTTGTTAGGTGTTTGAGAGGCAACATCCTTGTCGACCCCACCCCGCCCGGCATGTCTTGTTGTTAGGTGTTTGAGAGGCAACATCCTTGTCGACCCCACCCCGCCCGGCATGTCTTGTTGTTAGGTGTTTGAGAGGCAACATCCTTGTCGACCCCACCCCGCCCGGCATGTCTTGCTGTTAGGTGTTTGAGAGGCAACATCCTTGTCGACCCCACCCCACCCGGCAGTTCTTGTTGTTAGGTGTTTGAGAGGCAACATCCTTGTCGACCCCACCCCACGCGGCATGTCTTGTTGTTAGGTGTTTGAGAGGCAACACCCTTTGCGTGTGTCCTGTTGTTAGTGCTCAAAAAGCTATCTTCCACTGCGCCTGAAGTGATCCAAAAATTGCGACAGAAGTGATCCGCAAATGCTCAAACTACGACCAAAGTGAGTGGATTTCAGCTGCGACCAAAGTGATCCAAAAACTGCGACCAAAGTGATCCCCCCGCCCCCTGGAGACGCTCCTTTCTGACCTTGACGGAGCGTCTCGGGCTTTGCTGCTCTCCCAGGCTGGGCCAGGCGGCAGCCTCGCCCTCACGGCGCTGCCAACACGCTGCAGGATGACACCTTCCGCTGCGTGCTCCTCCGGCGCCTGCGCCTCCCACTGCCACTTGAAGCCCGAGCCTGCCGCTGCGGTGGCGCCCTCGACGAGCTCGGAGACCACCGGGCAGCCTGCCCCACAGCCGGTGTGCTGGTCCGCCGCGCTTGCTCCCTGGAGCGCGCTGCGGCGCGCATCTGCCGGGAGGCGGGAGCTCGGGTCGCGACCAACGTCTTCCTCCGCGACTTGAACCTCGGGCTGCCATTGACCGACGGGCGCCGGCTCGAGGTCGTCGCGCATGGACTCTCGGCCTTTGGAGGCGTGCAGGTAGCGGTTGATGTGACGCTCGTCAGCCCGCTTCGGCGTGACGGGAGCAGCCGATCTCGCGCCGACCACGAGCCCGGCTCGCCTTGCAAACCGCGGCCGAGCGCAAGCATCGGGTAACCTACCCGGAGTTTCAGCGAGCCCGGCGGTGTCGCCTGACGGTGCTGGCCCTCGAAGTTGGAGGGAGATGGGGCGAGGAGACTGAGGCCTTCCTCCACCGCATCGCGCAGGGCCGAGCTCTCGCCAGCCCCGCGGCGCAGCGCCCGGCTGTCGCAGCCGCGTACAGGCGCCGGTGGGGGCAGATGCTCGCAGTCGCAGCGCAGGGAGCGTTCGCTGCGAGCCTCTGCCAACTCCCCACCGACGTTGGCGACGCGTACGCCAGCGCGCCGCTGGAGGGCGATGTCCTGTCCGACGCCCGTTGGGCGCCGGGCGCGTAGGGACCGGTCGCGTGTTTCACCCTGTTTCACCGCGGCTTGACGGAAAAAGGTCCGGTCCGGGAAAAAACCAGAATTAGATACATAAATACATTACATTACATTACAGTACATTAAATTTCATTACATTCCATTATATTACATTACAGGCATACATTAGCTGTATTCGAGAGGTCGTTAACGGCATTTTCCAGAAAGCCTGGGCAAGTGGCGCGCGAGGGAAACGCGCGGGCGAGCGAGCGGGTGAACGTACGAGTGTGCGAGCGCACGCGCGCATAAACGGACGAGTGGACGGACGAGTGCGCGGTTGGACGGACGGACGGACGCACGCACGCACGGACGCGCGCGCGCACGCACGCACGCACGCACGCACCCGTCCGTACAGATAAGGGCAGAAATAAGACCATTTTATGGTCTGAAAAAAGGTCTTATTTCTGTACGGGCCCGTGCGTACAGAAATAAGACCTCTTTTAAGACCATAAAATGGTCTTATTTCTGCCCTTATTTCTGTACGGAAGGGTGCGTGCGCGCGTGCGTTCGTGCGCGTGTGCGTGCGCGCACGCGTGCGTGCGTGCGTGCGTGCGTGCGCGCGCGCGTGCGTGCGTGCGTGCGCGCGCGCGCGCGTGCGCGTGCGTGCGTCCGTCCGTCCGTCCGTCCGTTCGTCCGTCCGTCCGGTAATTCTTACCGGAGCACTGGCACCTCGTTTCTTAGGTACCAATGGAGAATTACCACCTCGCCTTGTTACATACGCTATTGAAATTAGCACCTCGCCTAGAGTCCCCTGAGCATGTCTGGCCTCAGAAGAAGCAAGAACAACTTTTGGGCCCTTGGAAAGTTTATTTAGGGGGAGGGGGCACCCTAAGCCTTTCCTCTTTCAGTACTTTTGAAGGGAACCCACAGAGTCCCCTGAGCATGTCTGGCCTCAGAAGCAGCAAGAACAACTTCTGGGACCCTTGAAATTCTTTTTCGGGGGAGGAACCACCCTAAGCCTCTGCAACAAGCTCCCCGCCTCTTTATGTTTAGACGCGCTTTCTAAAAAGAATCTGCAGCAGGTTGTTTGCTTCATTGGCGCTAGCTCTTTGCGTCTTTCTTGCTCATTCGCTTCTGAGTTTCTTGCTCATTCAATTTCGATGATGCTCGCTTCCGAGTTTCTTGCTCATTCGCTTCTGAGCTTCTTGCTCGTTTAAGGCTGATGCTCGCTTCCGAGTTTCTTGCTCAATTCAAGGCTGATGATGCTCGCTTCCGACTTTCTTGCTCATTCAATGCTGATGCTAGCTCAGAGTTCTTTTTCCCCTCGTGCCCCACTCCAAACTACTTGTGGAAAGCGACCCACTCACACCTTGGAAAGGAACCTTTGCATTTCCCGGATGCCGCAGGATCCCAAATGACAGCAACGTTATGTGACCCTGGCCAAACTGGCCTTTGTTGCGCCAAAGGTTTTGCTGAGGGGTTGCCGGGAACAATGAGACTAGGGGTTCTGGGAAGGCTACGGGAAGCCTACAGGAAGAAGGCTACGGGAAGACTATGAGAACAAACACTTTCTCCTGACTGTATAAAATAACTGTTCAGGCCCTGATTTTTTTCCTGCTGTGGGACCCTTGTGCACCTTGTTGTGCTGAATTTAGTTAAATCACCTCGCTTAAGATTTGCTCCACCTCGCACCTCGGCTGACCTCGCTCTAAATTGCCTAGATAAGCATGCCATGCTCAAAGGCCGTGTTCCGACCTACGCTACGCTGGTGCAGCCTTGACGCAACATGCTTTGGCACAGCCAGCTGCTGCTCCATGCAATGGATTGATAGTGGGGGAAGGCTGAGAAGATTTTCGAAGGGGTCACTCCTGATAATACAAGGCCTGTGTCACATTACATTACATTACATTACATTACGTTACGTTACATTACATTACATTACATTACATTACATACATACATACATACACACATACATTCATACATACGGAAATACATACATACATTACATACATACATGCATGCACATGCATACATACATACATACATACATACATACATACATACATACATACATACATACATACATACATACATTACATACATACATTACATACATACATACATACATACATACATACATACATACATACATACATACATACATACATACATACATACATACATACATACATACATACATACATACATACATACATACATACATACATACATACATACATACATACATACATACATACATACATACATACATTACATACATACATACATACATACATACATACATACATACATACATACATACATTACATTACATTACATTACATACATACATACATACATACATACACACACATATACATACATACATACATTACATACACACACATATACATACATACATACATACATTACATTACATTGCATTGCATTGCATTACATTACATTACATTACAATACATTACATTACATTACATTACATGCATACATACGTACATACATACAGACATACATACATACAGACATACATACATACATTCATACATACATACATACATACACACACACATACACACATACATACATTTCATACATACATTACATACATTTCATTACGTTACGTTACGTTACATTAAGTTACCTTACATACGTACATACATACATTACATACATTCACTCATATTACATGCATACATAAGTAAATGACTACATATGCTACCTGACCTTACCTTACCGTACATTACATTACATCACATTACACGCATACGGGCTGAGGTCTTCCGCAGACGGTCGGTAGGCCTTGTCAAGGCCTGCGGAAGGGGGGTCGGTCGTCCTTGGCTAGGCTTCTGAAAGGGTCGGTAGTGTCCTTGGCTAGGCTTCCATAGACCTAGCCAAGGCCTACCAACCCCCTTCCGTAGGCCTAGCCAAGGCCTACAACCCCCCTTCCATAGACCTAGCCAAGGCCTACCGACCCCCCTTCCATAGACCTAGCCATAGGCCTTGGCTAGGCGTACGGAAGGGGGGTCGGTAGGATTTGGCCAGGCCTACAGAAGGAGGGTCGGCAGGCCGGGCTAGCCCGGGCCAGGCCTATGCCCTAGCTGTAGACCTTGCCTAGGCCTACACTTGTTGGAAGCAAGGCTTGTGCCGGGAGATATGTATGTTGCGTTGCGCGCAATGTAGGAAGTCAGCTGTGCCAACGGGGGCGCAAGGCGCCGGGCAGTCTTGTGGCAAAGCTGCGGACAATCCTGTTCCAAGCTTCTGCGCCTTGCCTTTTACTGAGAATGTGCAGTGTCCCACTCACGATAGCGACCTTTGCCCGCTTCATACCAAATTTGGCTTTTCGCTTGCGCGCAGGGTTGGTCAACACAAAAAGCATTTTTTCATAGCATGCAGCAACGCTGATACTCTGTTAGCGTAGCTTTTATTGGGGACCCAGGGCTTGATGTGCAGGATTTTTTTGGTGTTCTGGTAGCGTGGACCGAGGGCAATAGACGAACACTGCCCCCAGTGGTTGCCATGGCGCGTGGCCTACTGGATCGTGAGACGGACTGCAACCGGTCCATAGCAATAGCTGAAACCAAGTGCCTTTGAGTGCATGAATCCATCCATTGTTGAACATGCTGAACTGGATATGCGCGCAACTTAATTTGCTTCTTGCCGCTTGTGACAGCCTCAAAACCGAGGCTGAGCGAGATGTGCCAGGAGCTGTGCGACAAAGTGACCGAACACTTGTCCAGAGCAACCGGGCAACTCATTCAGAAGGCGCGGTGGCTGGGTGACAACGACAAGACGGACTCATGGTGCCAGGTATCCCAAATTTTTTGTTCTGCAACCAAGGTGGATGACCGGCTCCACCGCAAGGGGAGTGATGTTCAATGCAAGCTGGCTGAGCTGGACCTTGCTGACAGCGTCACTGTGGAGGAGTTGCCCGAGGGTGGCTGGCGTGTCCAAAACAAGCCGTGGGCAAGCCGTGTCAAGTCTGGTGCTTCAGGATGTGCAGCGAGTGAAATCAAGGGCTTGGAGCGACTCGCCCGTACGCTATGCCTCCGAAGGGCCGCTCCGCTGCAGGGCCAACTCTGCAAGGGCCAACTCTGCAAAACCGGCCCAGTCCGCCTTGCGTCGTGTTTGTAATTGGGGTCCGGGTGTGCGGACAAGCGCAAAAACAAGTGATTGTTTCCTCTTCCTTGGCTGCAATCAAGATTTTGTTTCGGCGATCGCAAAAGCGCAGCGAGAGAGTCGTAAGGTTCAAGCCGCAGTGGTCGGATCGCATGATTCGCTCTGCAAGCCCCAAAAAGCTCCTGCGAGTCATCGATGCGGACTGGGCCACCGACTCGGAGGACCATCCAGGCCTTTCCCGGCGACTTATTTGCTCTTCGAGACAGCTTTCCTTGGGAACCCTTTGTTTCGATATCAGTCTATTTGATGCTGTTCATGCCACCACCTGTTGGAACCAACTGTGAGGCAGCCCGTGGTCAACGCGCGTCGTCCCAGCAGGCAGAGCTTAGCGCATGCAGGTGCATGCTTTTGCGCAAAATGAACGTGTCCATTCACCTGTGGGCACGCAGAAGTGCCTTGAAGGCTGCAAGCTGGAAACTGAGGCGAAGGAATGAGCGACGCAAGCGAAGTGAGTGACGTCAGCTATGCGCCCACCGATGCTGTCAAGAATGGAACGGAAGGCCCTCCCAAGGCTCCATCTGTAGACAATCCCAAGGCGCCCAACATTGGAGTCTTGGCTCGAGACGACACTGCAGTGAGCGCAAGTTCATGTGGTTGTTCGGCCCGGAGCCCTGCAGTGCATGTTAAGGTGCAACATGGTCGACAAAGAAGTCAAAGACAGGCGGAGGACAGATTTCAGAAAGCAGAGTTTGTTCAAGATCGGATCAATAGTTCAAGATCGGTGGTTCGGTAGAACGGCCAGCTTTCCCATTCACTTGTTGGCTTTTAATGGAACCGAAAACGGTGTTGAGTTTGTGGGATGTGGTCATCTGCAGCAGTCTGACGGCCTCAGTTAGGCGACACCACGCGCAACTTTTTCGCAAAAGTCTAGGGTCCACCCTAGTTTGTTGCATTTTTTGAATAAGCGCCCCAAAACAGCCATTTTAAAACATATTTTGAAACAGTCTAAACACATTTTGATAAATATATTTTTTTTATTACAGCATACTAAAACCAAAAATATAATATTTTTTTAAAAAAACCAATGCACACAAACATTTTTATTTTCAAAAACATATATTTTCCAAAATATTTTAGAAAATGTATTTTTTCAATAGAGATAAAATGTATATAGCATGCGTAGTGGGCTCGCCCATCGAAGTGGGACCCGTTAGGCTTCAACCTGGGTTCGCACATGATTCCCCCCCGAGGGGGGGGGATGTTTGCTTTCAATTGCATGTGTCGGTTTCATGTGAAACTCTTGACAACTATTTTGGATTTGTCAATGCTTGAAACATGCTTGAAACTTGGTTTGCAATGGTTTTACATTCATGTAAACCGATCCTTGCGAATAGCTTCGCATGTTTTCTCCCTTGGGGAGGGGTGTGAAATATTCTCTTGATGAGATTTGGCTCATTTTGAGCAGTTAGTTCCAACCAGAGCGGTAATCGCACGCGCTGGTAGGATGCGATGGCAGGGGCTTATGTAGAACCGGATGTGGGATCTGGCGGTGAGCACAATCCCGCAGCCCTGCCAAAGGTGGGCAACCACATTGGAAACACTATGGTTGTATCTGGGACAGGACGCCCGGGCGACTTTACAACCAGACGATCCAGACGTTGTGAATCCAGAGCTTTTGTTTCACATGTTCGAGCATGTGGACGACATTCATGATTTCTTGGGCAACGAATTGTCGGGAGAGATCGGTTCCGTTGTCGATACAGTTGTGGATTTGTGGAAGCTGTGCGAACCACATGCAATGAGGGCCGCGAGGCGTCGAGCTGCATTGCCGTTTTACGAAAAGCGGAGACGTCTCAGCAGCTTGGGTGACGTTACGCGACATGAAGACAAAGAGACCGCGCCGCAGATTCCACTCCATTTCAGATTGGGTGGGGGAGCAACCAAATGGCCCACAAGAGCGGCGAAGAAGCTGGCCGCGCAGAATGATATCAGCAGGACAGAACTGGAGCAGCGTGAATTGCAGCGGTGGCGAGACCTTGCAATCAGTTTGCTGCGGAGTGCTGATGTCCCGGTGATTGCAGAAGCGGACATGTCCAAGGATCCCGAGGCGTACATCATGGCTGCACTGGGAACCATTCGGTCTAGTACATTAAGGAGGAGGGTCCGCGAATGGTCAAAGTTTACGTTTTGGCTTGATTTGACCAACTCCACGAAATGGCCTGAGAACAAATTGCAGTGCATGGAATTTGTTTGGATGCGTGCATCAGAACCATGCGGTCATACAGTACCTATGAATTTTTGGGTCATCTTGAATTTCTTTGAGAAGATTTCAGGATTGCCAGCTGCAGATTGCTTTGCGGAAAGCACTGTTGTCAAGGGTGCGTGCAAGCAACTGCAGACAACGGCTGCAAGAGTGAAGCAAGTACCCATGTTTGTGTTCAGCATGGTGATTGCGTTGGAAATGCGTGTAATGAAAACTGGTCAGACGACTTACGTCAGGGCATATGCTTGGATCAAACTTGTCAAGCTATGGACGTCATCGAGAACTTCAGATATTCAGGGCCTGGACCCCAGCACTTTGAGTTGCAGGAATGGCTTCCTTTCAGGCACGTTCGCGTACACCAAGACGACAGGCCCTGGCAAGAAGATCAGACACATTCCCATGTTCCTTTCTGAGGCAGCCACTCTCTCCGGCCAACCGTGGTTGCGAACAGGTTGGGAGCTCTGGAACCTGCCCGATTTCAGCTTTGCCAGAGATTACATGTTGCCTTGGCCAAACCACATGTTGACTGGATGCATCAAGAAGCCTGCAGACTATGCAATTTTTGCAGCTTGCACGCGCGCAGTTTTCATGGAGTTGAAGGTCCCGCGACGCAGGAATGGTAATTTGTGTGATTCAGAGACGAGGCTCTTTGTGGACCCAAGAATTTCTGCTTATTGGTCGGAACACAGCGAACGCAATTGGCTCACTTCAATTGCTGCCATGATGAATGAACCCAAGGAGCATCGGACTTACCTGGGCAGGTGGGGAATTGGTGCCACCGTGGATGAGTACGTGAGGACGGCGCTGGCCATAGTCTTGGGAATTCAAGAAAGAGCAGTGAAATTCCTTTCTGATACGATGAATTGGAGCGCTGTCAATGTTGATTTGGATGTGCTTGAGAATGAATTGCAAGAAAGCTCAGATTTCACGCACATGGCACGCGAGCAGATTGATCGATTGACAATTTCATTTGCAGACTTGACGCGGGACATCTCGAATGAGGACTTGATTCAGGAAGCGGACGATGAGAAGCACGACGCCACAATTGCGGCTGCAGAGCAGATTCCACATGTTGCAACAGCTTCGGAACAATGCAGTGCAGATACATCTGATCTGCAGGGCGTTGAGAAGTTTGAAGAAGATGCACTAGATGATGGCTGCAGGGCGTTGAGAAGTTTGAAGAAGATGCACTAGATGATGGCGGGATGCACATCGTTACTATCACATCGAAGCGCAAACTGCGACGCCTCCACAAGAGAGGGGTGTGTGGTATCAAACCTGAAAATTCAAGGGACAATTTTTAATAGGTATATACATACACCTTTAAGGATGAGCGAAGACACCATACAGAAGGCAATTAGCAAGGGTAATTATATTGAAAACGAATGCTGGATTAATGCATTAACTGATTTTTACAGTGATACAATTATGAATGAAAGAATCCGTAATAGACTAACTAGGGAGAAAGTAATTGAAATTATGGGTAGAGATAACCTTGGCGAAGCGGGAGCAACTATTCAGGAGATGGAGGCTGTATTTAAACAGTTTAAAATTCCGTGCAGAACTTATGATTGTTGCAATACATTAATTTACAAATGCGATCCCGATATAAATAGTAGACACATCAAACCATTTTATGCAATTGTCAAAAACAGTCATATTTACGCACTAAACCACGACTTAAAAAGAGAAACAATTAATAACCAAGATACCAACTGTCAAAGCTTCCACTGACTACTGTATTAATGAAAGAGAAGAACCACTGCTTTATAAAATGACAAGAAATATTGACGACACACTAAGTATCAAAGTTGATGAAAAAACAAGATATATTTAGTATCCGAAGACAATAAGTTATCTGAATTACTTTTCAATTTAATTCGTAGTGGCTACGAGCCAAGAATTAGATTTCAAGCTGGTATTATATCAGAAATAAAAATACAATTTAACAACACAATGTATATAATAAAAACACAAAACTTAAGAACAACTTCTGCAGATGGATGTATTGCAGTATGTGATGAAACTACATATAACAATATGAACAAAGCAATGTTTAATTTTAATAAGTCATTGCTTAACTTATCTCATAAACCGTTTTATAATGACATTATATTCAAAATTTAGACGAAGCCAGAACAGTTGTTCCATCTGGCTTATTGTTTGATAGGGGCGATATCAAAAATGAAATCGAATTCGATATATCAAAAGCATTTACTCACGCGTTTATTACTATATCAGAAATACCAGTATTTAATCAATTCGACATATGGCGAGCGTTTGATGATACAACTGATATTTATGATCTACACGACTTAACGTTGTATTATATAGAAAAGAAAACTACTATGCTATTTCATAAACAATATTGCTTACTATATGGAGTATTTTTGAAACAACTAGATAACTGGACAAGAGAACGAATTAACATTTCATACTTTAAACAACCTTCATTTATTCACAAAGTCGATAATAAAAATATTGTTAATGAACTTTGGAACACAAACATTAGCGAAGACAATGAAGAAGATAAACGTATAAAAAAACTGATCGCACATGTTAATTATGGACTTCTAGAAAAAGGGGGAGCAACTGATCAGAAAAGCACAGTGTTTAAAAATCTTAAGGAAGCAATAAGTTATCAAACAGAGTATGGAGGTAAGATACATAAATTAACACGTTTCACGACAGAACAAATTACAGTAGATGAAGAACAATATACAGAAGAAGAAGAACAGGCGTCATATTATATACTTAATTTAAAGGATACATCACGCTTACGGAATGGTTTGAGGTATGTAAAAGAGCTACTGCTTCAATACCATAATTTTAGAATGTATCAATATTATTCTAAATTATATCAAAATGGCGTTAATGTGTTCAGTGCCAAAACAGATGCGTTTACAATACAGCGATCGGATATAGCAAAAGTAAGAGAGCTTTTGATCTTTAATAATGAAATAGGAGGTTGGCGAGTTTCAAATGACAAATCTATTAACATTCCTACTGTAGATTATGAAGTTTCCCAAGACAAATTAATACAAATACCAGTTTTTGACAGTAAAACTATTGATATTGTAGATGAATATGACACTGATAACATTATGGAAATTATTGAACAAAATATTCCTATTTTGGTTCGTGGAGCACTACCGGGCACAGGAAAATCATATATATGTCAAAGAATGGTTGATAAAACACATATAAACTATTACAGGCATTCGAAGGCGAAGCAATGACAATAAATAAATTTTTCGGTATTAATATATTGGAGAATAAAACAATATGTAGAACAGAATAAGCACAACAAAATTATAATAGCAACAGGAGACACCAAGCAATTATAACCAGTTCAAGAGATAACAAATACTCGAGACTATGAATTATATACTGATAATATTATAGATATCATTTTTGAATATAGTATTTTGTTAACAGAAGGTAAGCGACTTAACGCACAGGAA